CAATCTGATTGGCCAATGATTGTGAATTATATGTTTCAAATATATTATAAATATATATTTTTCTCTCTTTGTTTATACGTTCATTATCATAGCAAAAAATACTGAGTACATATTTTTTATTGTAAGTCTTACAATTAATGATAAAAAATGAAAATATCATGCAAATGAAAAATGCTTATCTTACAAAAGTCATTCAGTCCTTTTCAGTACATTTTTAAATTTATTGTTTAAAATTTAAGTGGTTTATTTTTCCTTTGTATGAGTAAAAAACATTAAAAAACGCACACCAAAAAAAAATTGTTTTAAGAAGTTTTATTTAAAAATTCTCTAAATTTACCTGCAATTTTGAACAAATTGCCTGAAAAATCAGGAAATTCTCAGAGAATTTTTTTACAAGCTTTGGATAGACACTCGGTATAAATGATGTTTACATCAATAATACTCAATCTTGGAAATTTCGTGCTATAACAATCTCGCAATGACATTTTTTAATCAATTTTATTATTTGCCTTACGTAATAAATCTTTAAAAGAAAATTTGCGCCTATAATCGATCTATACATATATACATATTAGTGTTGTCAATATCCAAGTACCCTAAAAGTATGTCGAGATTTTTCAGGTAATTTTTTTGCATCTTAATGTTTAGAAAAAGTGAAACTTGAAGAAGGGAGAAAAAATTACTCATATATAATTATATACAAAATTTAAAATTTGTGATGTTTGCTTCACTCAAATATACACATTTGCATACTAAAAACTGCAATCTTAATTTTAATAATAAATTGTCTAACGAAATTAAAATTGATCCTTTTTTTTAATAAATGTGTATGCGTGCGCGTGTGTGTTGAAAAAATTCGAAATAAAATCACGATTTTCCTAACTAAGATTAAAGCCGCAAATTGCAGAAATAATTCTATATAATTCGACTTCCCATAATGGTGTTTGTTTTTTGCATTTTTAAAAATGCATATACAAATTTGTAATACGATAGTTGTACAAAGACATACACAAGTGTTTTCTAGCAGAAAGTTCAATGGCAAATAGAGGAATACGGATATGTGTACATCATACTGAATAGTGGTTTGTGTTGTTATTTATCTTTGTTGTAACACATTCGCTCGATTCACTATTCGGTTCAGTTGCATGTAAACGTGCATACGCATTACGCGTACGTAGCTTAAGATTGCATTCTTCCATCCTCGTAATGCTAGTGGATTAAAACAACGTGTATCGTGAAATGTGAATACGGCATTCGCAGCACGAACAACAGCGTGTGATTTATCTCATCCTTCTATCCCCTGCGTAGTTGAATCCCGTATTTACCGGTTACCTACATCTTCCATTTATACTAAAATTTAGCAGCATCGTGTTTCGCCAATAGTTTCGCGATACAACGCTCACGATTCGAACAATGATCCGCAATTTCTTGCGAATATGAATTAACGTATATTAAACTAACCTTGCTAAGCGCATTGTTATATGTATATATAATTTAATTTAAAGAATAAACTTCAAATGATACATGATTTCAATATGTACATGTACATATTTTAATTAAAAACCATCTCAAACATTTTCAAAAATAAATAAAAAGTTTTGACAAAAATTCAACAATTTTTATTTTTAACAAGATTAAGCAGTTCTTATAAATATTTATACGTTAAAAGCAAATTTATAAATTAACGTATGACGTTATATATTAGATTAAAGATAAAAAAGCGATTTAGCTATATTTTAACTATATTTAAATTTATTGATAAAAAATTAAAATCTTTCTTTTATTTGTAATTATTTAAAAGTTTTGTCATCTTTTTGCGATCTGTAATATTAAAATTCAAGAACATTGCTATTATCAAGATTATTGTATTTTGTATGAATAGGGTTATATATATTGAAGTTATATATTGTTAATATTTTAATAACAGAAACATTAAAAAATATAAATTTTATATATTATGAATATAATTTGATCTTGTATTAGCATTAAAAGAATAACGAAAATTGTAACAATTTGTAATTTTTGAAACATATATTAACAAGTTAATCTTTTATAGAATCGATAGCGAGTTATTTTTCAGAGAGAAAAAATCAATAACAAATTACTTTTTTAAAATTATGTTTTTAAATAAGTAGAAATTAGTAAGATACAATACACGGTATATTTAAGTAACACAGTACAGTTTATTGTAAGTCATTCGAAATAACAGTAATAATTGTATTATTAACTATATTTGGTTCTTCATCAAAGTCGTTTAGATTCTTCGAAAGATGTATGCCCAGATATGATTTATTTGATACTGATAATGTGGCAATCCTGGAATAATTAAACGGTTGAATGACTTTCAATTTAGAAAGCATGTCTAAAGTACATTTATATAGGTAAATTGATAATTTAAAATATATAGATAAAAACATACATATAATTAGAAATAAGTCTATGATTTCATGTTTATTCAAAAATACTGTAAACTAATATTATCTTTTAATTAAGACAATAGAATGATTTATGACATGATATTTTTCATATCGTATTAGCCATTAGCCTAATCCAATTTATTGGCATCTTATCGGTATTTAAAAGTAAATACAGGATGTCAGATATTTTTATCATTTAATAAACGTTTATAAAGAATGTCGAGACGATCTTAAAGATATAGTATATTTTCGAACCAAGTCTGCTTCGAAAACTGTAAAATATTTTATGTAACTTTTTTTTTTTATATACCATTCATCACGCATGAGATTTGATACCTGTTTCAATTCTCACCGTGTGTAAGATATCGAAAATATCTTTAAGATTCTTTACAGTTTTCGAAAGAGATTTGGGTTCGAAAATACTATATCATTAAAATTGTCAACATCCTTTTATAAACGTTTATTAAATGATAAAAATATTTCCGATTGTCTTTATTTCATATGCAAATAAAACGACATTTAAAATTTTATTATAAAAAGATATTTTACTTTCCCTGCTGTCTATATGAGTTTAAAAATGACAGCTGATTAATTTCAGCAACTTTTCGTGGGACATCCTATATATACATGCTATGTCATAAAATAATTCCAATATATAGTAAATATAATTAGAACTAATTAATTATAACATCAAATGCTTCATAATTAATATATTACATAATATCAGATGTTTAATAATTATATTATTAAATTCGTAAAGTGTTGTTTCCAATAAAAGTTTTATAACAGAATAAATGAAAATTTGTTATTTCTATATATTCAATCAAAATGAAGATATGAATATAGGAAATTTACTATAATTTTGCTTATAATTTTTATGGCGTATGACCATTTCACCAACATTTATGAAAACTACATAATTTTATATGTATAATATTTTGTAATTTATTATATAATTGTATACTTTCTCTCTCTCTCTATCCCCCTCTCCTTCTTTCCTTCTGTTTCTCTCTCTCTATCTCTCTATCTATCTATCTATCTATCTTTTTTCTCTCTTTTTTTCTCTTATTTCTCATAAACACCAACAAGACAGCATTTGCAAAATAACGTTGAGAATATTTTGCAATAAGAGACATCTAACTTGTGAGATAGCTGTTAAATAATCTAGATTTATGATTACTGGCGGCACACCGTGGCTATTGCTGCAATTATCGGAAAATTATTGGAAGCTATTTAACAAGAAAACATAGATAGACACAATGCCACACAATAAGGTATATGGTACACGAATTTTTAAAGGCCCAAAAATTTTCTATTTGATATGCAATTGTATGATATTATGTTTATGTGAGTTTTTGTAGGAAAGTTCTTATTATAGTACAGTAAAAGTGCAGTAAAGGTACAATGTTACCAGAGCATAGGATTTTCCTACGCATGCGTTGCTAATACTGCTTTACATATGTAACGCTTACAATCGGTAACGTGAATGCCTCGATAAATTTAGATGTATCTATATATATAAATGGTTATTAATAGTAGAGCGATATTAATAGTATTTTTTTATAATATGTGATATTAATATATTATTCTATTTATATTATTTAAAATAAATCTGCGTATTTTCTTTTAAATCTTCTAATGAAACTATTTAAAGTACTTATCTAAATTTGTATTTTTTTATTTAAATTGTGATAAGATTTTTTGGAGATATTTTTCTTTTATTCTTGCAAGTATTGATATATATTCATATTGGCAGATACAAAAAATTATTAAAATTTAGTATTGTCATCCAAAAGCTATATTTTTTATTTTATAAAAAGAGTTATACCATTTTTGTGACAATTTTATTTCTTTCACAACTTTAAAAATTCGCGGGCAATTAAGAGCCAGACGCGAATGGTAATGCGTTAGTTTCATAGAAAAATTATTTTCTTTTTATTCTCGATATGGTATAGGACCAAGATAATTTCATGCCCTGTGCACAGTAATCAGTTTCATAGAAGAATTATTTTCTATGAAACTGACGCACTATCATCCGCGACTGGCTCTTATTAATTGCCCGCGAATTTTTAAAGTTGTGATTTTCACTTGAGAGCCTTATTAATTTCTTAACTTATTTTATTTCTTTCTTTGATGACGAGCCTAATGATGTCACTTCGAGAAAATATATAATGCTGCAGAGTCTACAAACGATCTAAACCAAGCAGGTATTTAGACTTTCCGTTACGCATGCGTAAAAAAATGCCATTATGCGAGATACGAGAACAATAAGCGTGGACTATTGCGCAAGCGCAGTAGCGTAGTAGGAGCATGCAAGTGTATATATATAACCGTTAGATATGTGCGGACTGTGCATTGTGCGTTAGTACGCGTGGGTGTAAACTGGACGTGTCTCCGCGAACGTGGTAATCACGTGTACGATTCTCGTATACTCGCCGGTCAAAATTCACGTGTGTGTTGCCAAGACATCTGAGAAAGAAGGTAGCGTTTTTTCGCGATTATGCGCGAAATATTTTAGCGCTGTTGCATCGCGTTACATGAACCGACGTTTTTTATACCGCGAAATTACGTGGGAAGCCGAGGTCTACCGGCTCTGTTCGAGCAGGCTCGTTTCTCGACCGCGTGATACCGAACGACGATAAACGGTGTCCCAAAAATCGGAACGGCGGTAAATGACGATATCAATTTCGGCGGTGACATCCATTTGTGCCATCCCGCGACGTCGGATCGCTGTTCCAATTTTTGTCGCCGATTTCTGGAGGCGTGGCGTTTCTGAGAACGCGATATGGATAAACGCCGGCTTTTCTTCCTCCCCCTTTCACTTGCTGTCCGCACACATACATATGTAGACGACGCAAGCGCGCGTCCACGCAGGACACACATACACACACGCTTCGCACACACATACAACGAAACGTTCTCCTTGCACGCCGACGACGAGGAGTCTTCGAGCCAGGCGTTCATTCATATCGTGTAAAAGTCCGGACTGTTCGCGATGTAGCGAGTTTTAGATATGACATTTAAGTGACGAGTGGAGTGTGTGTTATTTTGGAATTGATACGACCGCGGGGGATAACGGTATCGCGGACGATCGACTATCATTACCGCTCTTGTTGCCACAGCTGGTTCGGTCTAGCCCGTTGGCGCGACGAGTTTAGCGCCAACGTGGTCGCGTTTATATTGCAAAATATGCAATATTGATGCGTACTTTGACCATCCCTACGCGCGTGTCTGGTGGCAAAGTGCGTCCGACGTCGAGTGTCGGTTAAGTTCAAGTCGCACACGTGTATTCTCTCGCGTCACGCTTCCTTCCCACGTTGTACATAACCTAAAACGAGCACGCGTGATCCGAGCCGCTCGAAACTTATCCGAATCCGTTCGACCGTTTGCAAACTATATATCATTAACGAGCGTTTCTCTTGGTGTGTCATTTGTATCACAGATATATCGCAAAGTGACGAGTTCCAATTTCAACATTGTGCCATGGAAGCAGAATTCTTGAAATTATACGAGGAGGATTTCTTTTCCGGTTTATCCTCGACGACAAACGACCACGAGATATATATACTAGAGAGGTAATGAGCCAAATATGTAAATGTCGATAAGATAAGGGATGTAAAAGCAACATAGATATAGAAATGAAGATACAACAGAAGGTTGAGGAAGGTTGAGGAAGGTGGAGAAGCAGTGAAAAGATGGAAAATTTTACATATATATATACGTTTAAGACGAATAAAGATGGAACTATTTTTTTATGATCACCTCTCAAATAATAGTTGAAGATATTGTATACAACTGTCGAAATATTTTATTTTTAAAACAATGATGAGAAGAAAATTAATTTTAAAATTTGTGATAGTCTTTTTAATTCTATTATCAAAAGATATGACTGGCCTTTTTCAAATATAACTAAAGCATAACGACTTTGTAAAAGGCGCTATAAAAGTATATGTTTTACAAAAAGTATTAGGCTACTTTTCGAGATAATTGTTTATATATTTTAAATAAGATTATCTCTCTGAAAGAAGATTGGGATTTTATTTATTTATTTATTTATTTAATATGTCGGATAAAAGTTGGATCATGTAAACATATGTATATGTTTTTAATATTTACATAATTTTAATAAAAAAATATTTTTTTGTTATATTGTAAAAGTATCTCTTATCTAAGGTAGAAAATTAATAAAATAAGACTTATACTTGCGATTATATATAAACATGGGAAGAAGAATGCACGTGGATAGAATATTCTGTGCCTATAAAAATACTAGGTAATAAAAATATAAGAACCTTAGAAAATTAAAACGTATTAAAAAATAAATAAATGAAAAGAAGTTTTTAGGAAAAGAAGCAAAATTACAGCAAAAAAGAAAGAAGGTTTACAGTGCGATTGTTTAGATAGGGAATAGGTTGGAAAAGAGCAGCAAGGAATATATATATATATATATATATATATTCCTTGCTGCTCTTTTCCAACCTATTCCCTATCTAAACAATCGCACTGTAAACCTTCTTTCTTTTTTGCTGTAATTTTGCTTCTTTTCCTAAAAACTTCTTTTCATTTATTTATTTTTTAATACGTTTTAATTTTCTAAGGTTCTGAGAAAAAGATAAGAAAAGTACGGGCGGAAAAGAAAAAAACTACGATGAAAAATGATGTGGAAATAGAACAAGAGAGAAACAATAAATTTAAGAATAACAGTAAAATGAATAAACAGATTTGATAATCAAATCTGTTTGGTAATTCCAATAAAAAATTATCTTTTGCAATAAAAATAAAAATAAAGTTCCAAATTCCATGCATCCGTTTAAAAAATTGTTCTACAAAAAATATTACACTTTAAAATATACTTATTGATTAAATCTTTTCCTATAAAAATGAGAATATCAAAAAATTTTGCCAATTGATAATAAAAATAAATTATACACTCTATAGAATTTAATTCTTTTATATTGTTATGTTTTAATATAGTAAAATTTTTGTATCCATTAAAATGCAGTATAATTGTGTATTTTACTTAAATATTTATACATTTGATTTTTAATATAATTGTAGAATCTGCAAGATATATTTTCTCATAAAGAATTTTTCAAAGCATAACATGTGTCAATATATAAATCACCAAACGATGCGTCATACATGGAGACAATATATAACGCGCCCTCGAGAAGGCACGTAGATGCATTCAAAGGTTTATTCATATGTTAGTTATAAAAACTTTCTAGAAACTTTCTAAAAACGGTAGAAAATACAGGCTCATAGCAGGTAAGAAAAGAGGAAGGGCCGAGCGTATTGTGCAGTTCAAGGATGTCGACATTTCTTAAAAGAAAAATTTACCCTGTCGAACTTTGCATGGTAAGGATAATATTATATTTGTCGTACGACAAATTTTTTAAGCATACTGATTGGCTGCAAAATAGAAAATTTCTTGAGTCTCTAGAAATTAATTAATCAATGCGCTTAAAAATTTTATCGTACGACAAATGTAATATTACCCTAAGGCTGATATTACATTTGTTGCACGACGAATTTATCAGATGTAGCGATTGGCTATCGGACAGAGAATTTCTAGAGGCTCTATCGAGATTCTAAGAATTCTCTATCTGCTAGCGAACTGATGCGTTCGACAAATATTTTTTGTCGTAGAATATATCAACCTATCTCTGTTTATAATACACGTGGAGCCATAATAAAGATACTTTCCTGATGCAATTGAGACTAAAGCTATTGTAAAAATAAATATATAAAGAAGTAATTAATAAAAAAATTGTAAAAATAAATATATAAATATATAAAGAAATAATATATAACATAATAATATAATATAA